GTTGTTAACATCTGACTTAAAAGGAGTCGCTTGTGTATGCTGAAATCTGGTATACGTGAAAATGAGTGAGAGGCCCTGGACGTACTTCCAGAACTTGGGGATCTGCACCGATTGTTGGAACTGGGCCCTGCAATGCCAAACCTCTAATGATTCACACCGGTGAAGGATTCAGCAAGTAATGGGCTCACAACAACCTGCGACATGTTTCAGTGAGTACACGGCAACAAATCTGAACTCACCCGTCGAGCCAGTCTCACACGGCTGCGTTTGTGGAGACGCTGATGAAGCCGCTGAGAGAGTGACGCTCTAGTGACCCCAAAGAACCACCATTCAGTAATTGTGTAAGGCCTTTCCCTCTCCCACACATAGCCGGGACACACACTGTATGAGCACGGAGCAGCTGGGAGAGAGCAGATCTGCCATGGGTCATTTACTGCTCTTATTAATTCATGAAGCTTGATTAACGAAGTCCAGTCCCGCTCTGCTACCATAAAACAAACGTCCACTCTGACGCACAGACGAGCACATTCTTTGCAAGGGTTTTGACAGCATGTCGGCTCCCTGGTTAATTTTATAACTCAATTACTGACCATCACACACTCTCTGCCCTTTGTGAAAATAGACTAATTCCTAACACAGTTAGAATTCCTTTCCATTGTGATATATAATGATGGAGCTCCCAGCCTTCTCATCCGCAGCTCTTCCCAGACTTCTGCCACAAGAGACATGCCGACTGCACCAAACTCATGCGGGCACTCATGAGAGTGAGACTGTTTGACTGACAACTAAACTGAGTCACTTCTGTGAGTAAAAGATGATGATGTGATTCGCTTAAAAAAACAACAGAAACAAAAATGTGTATCACAGGGTTGAGTAAGAGTAATGCTGGGATTCTCCTAAATCGTTTAAGGAGATTTAGGAGAATCTCCTTAAAGTACATTCAGGAAGAAATGTGTGCAACTTAAGGTGAACTGGAACAAAGCATCATTTTAAATCTTAAAAACTGTAAACTAAAAATACTATTCAGCTTTGCCTTTGTAATACAAACAGAATTCAGTTAAGCCTTGTCTTGCCTAGATAAGCAAGGCCTTCCCTAAAAAAAAATGAAGTAATTTTGGTGGCAGCATTACCAGCGTCATCGCAAAACAAGAGTAGGGTCCCTATGCCAAGAGCTGTGAAGCCAACTCTGCCAGATGCTGTTTTCGAATTGACTGACAGAAAGCTGGTTGGTCCCTCACATGTTAATCATGAAGGTTGCTGTATTTCTGATTTCAACTATCAAGTTTACCTCTGCCCAAGTTTGACCATTTGTGGAAGTATCAACTACCAGCATTATAAAATTCTGCATTCAATCAAAGTTAGAATCTTGATTTTTTTCAAAACGTACAAACATTCTAAAATCTAACATTGAACATGTTGTCTTTGCATAATTTACAATTAAATGATTTTTTCAAACAAATACTTTCATTCTGTTTACATTTACATTTTATTCTGTCATTGCCAGCTTTTCAAGAAACTATTTCCTTGTTTATGGCACTCATCTTTGCTCAAGTTAAAGTAAAACAGGGAGTGACTTTTTTTTTTAAATCAACATCCTGTGGTTCGTGGCCATGCACGATTAATCATCCTCCTGGACGATTAGGTCTCATAATGCTGGAGCCCAGCTAACTGAATTTAGACAAGAAAGATGGTTCCAAATGATACAATAGCTACTGATAATAAATATCAAATACAAGTAGATACATAACCTGTATAGACTGAACCCCATTCATGAAAGAAAACCATGAAGTCATGCTTCATATTTACCTTTGGGCCTTCCTCTTACAGCGCTGCCTTCCCCTTAATGACGCATTCATGACACCCTGTGTCATCATGTATGCCATTCACACAGTAAATCTGCAAGTGGCCTTCTCTGACAGGAGTCCCTCCACACTGATGGACAGAGCCTGTCTTTGCAGGCCCCTCACACAGATTTCCACACCGCTCACGTCATCGGATCTCCGTCCAAATGCCAGCCAACCTACACTAATGGATCCCCTCCGTAGAAAAAGCGCTTATTCCCTGCCTCAGTGTGTGCTTCAGCATACACAGTGTTGCGAAAGAGTGCTTTCATTTGCACAGACAGCAAAGGCGGATGTGGGAGGCAGACCCCCCACCCTCTCGTCACATTTGAAGGAAAACGCACACGATCTGTCAAAATCGGCGAGATTTAAACTCTCCGTAAGATTGTTTAGGGGTTCGCAAATGATCACAAGATAAGCAGCATCGCGGTGATGTGTTGATGTTGCCTGTATTTTATTGCATAAGACTCCCCCCTCTCCACTGCATCTGTAGGATTTACCTGAGCCCGAGAGTCCGCAGGCTGCCGTCATCTCTACAATAATTCTTCCCATCTTTTTCTGCACACTGAGCGCAAACTGTGACAAAGCCGGGGCCTGTCTGCTATTTCCTCTAGTTTTGTTTTTTTTGTGTCAACTTACCCTCTCTCGCTTTAAGCAGTACAGTGTTGGCTACAATGTTCTCCAGCTCCATCAAAAGAAAAAAAGAGAAAAAAACTGAGAAAATCCTAAATGCAGGTTTTTTCGCTACGCGAGCGTCTACAGCGAAAACAAGGTCCTCCCGCTGTTGTGGGGTGTTTATCCTCTTCACTCCTCGCCGATATCCGCGCAAATTTCACTCGTATCAAAGTGGGAGAGGATAAAGCAGGATGTCATAGATTTGCTTGCAGTGTAAGTTGGGCATGGTTCTTGTTCTGGGCTCGAAGTGCAGCGCTGCATTTCTACTCCAATCCCCCCAAAACCATTCCATGCGTAATTTGGCCCCCGATGAAGAAAATGACCAGCTTAGAGGATCCGATGTGTACAAACCAGATTCTCTGAGCGGGTCCTTTGCAACGGAACACCAGGTTACCGCCAGCTTTACCTTACAACGGCAGGGGTTGGCTGAGTGCACCAGAGAGGACATCAGCGCGCCCCCCCCCCTCCCTGTTAGTGCGTAATCAGAATAGGCAGGGCCTTTCCGTCATAGACACAGTCAAGCTGCTCGCTCTCACTAGACCGGGACTCGTCGTGAAAGTAAAAGCTCCCTTCTCGGAGTTGATTCAGTTTTTTGTGACAAAATTCCGCATAATTTTAAGGGTTGAACCACATTGCTAAAACACCTTTTGATAAGTACAGTACGTTGTTATGGCTTTCACAAAATATCACCTTGATTTCCACATCAGCAGATGTCCTTACATTGTTATTTCTAAAAGGGTAGCTGATTTAAACCTGAATGGAATTTTAATGTGGTCTCTTAAAGTGACACCAATGAGGATTTAAAGGAATAAGAGTCTTTGTAATGGCAAGCGAGTAAATTGATAAAGTCGCCCTCTGGTGGAGGAACATTTCATGATAAATCCCCATGACAGGTGTGTTGGGGTCATTATGGAAGCGTTTGATGAAGAGCCAACATGTCAATGTCCCTCATCTGTATGCGCACAAATCTGAATAATCTGATCAATTACCAGAAATGAGCTACGTGCTGTTTTTTCATAAAGGGCCAGGACAAAATCTGGCTTTATTTTCTGACAAGGACATGAAACCATGCATCTCATGGTAGTTTAGAAAGCCTGTGATTACATTATATAATTCAGTAAAGACAATGGTATCGCTGACCGGTAGAAACATCCATTCATTTGAATCAGGCTTCGTATTCACATAGTCTTTATTTTACAGTGGTGTTTTAGATGTGGTCCAAAGGGAACTGAAAAAAATACTCATAAAATTAACCTCAGATTAGATCCCGATTATTACCAGTGTCAGATTAGACTACTAGGACTCAAATTAATTATTACTAGGCAAATATTATTTTGGGAACTGCCCTCTGATGGACTGACAACCTGTTGTAATGGCCAGCAATGATCCCCCTGACCCTGACATGGATTAAGGGGTATTAAATATGGTTGGATATAGTGGGCTGTATAGAACACTTTTGTTATTGTCTAAAGCTTTAGAGGTGGATTTGGCTGATTTATAGGAAACCGAATGGTTTGCACTTGACATATGTAACACGGGCTAAATGCAACGTGACCTCCCGTTGTTAAGATTTCTTGAGTGCCCTGTAAACATGGAAGCATCTGAGTGTGTGAGAGTCCCACTCCAAAGCTGACTCCTAAGAATCCCCTTATTTTAAAAGTATGGGTGGATTTAATGCTGCCTTAGTAATATCTGTTTGGGGGTTGATTCATATGTGGAAATCCTTTCCTTTTTAATCAAATTACATTGTAGTCCTCAGCTTTACAAAAAAATGAAAGTAAATAATAAAAATGAGAGTTTCCTGCAGAGTTAATTGTTGCAGATATACAGAGATAAACATTCAGAGGCTCATAATTGGTGACAGCAGATAGGATCAGTTATCCGGGACACCACAGCAACAGGACATGAGGATGGAGCACTTTGATGCCCTGATATGCCTCAATTAAATTACCTGCATGTATTATGTCCTTTCCCTCACTGGCCTTGGAGGTCTTTCAAATGCAGATGCAACCCACTCTCGATATTTCATTGCAGCATTCAAATTGGCGTTTCACTCTCCTCACAGAGGACCAGAAGGAAATTCTCTGTATGTGCATATTTATTTAAAATTTACAGTTTTTAAATGATTCTTTTTTTTCAAACAAAGAAAATCAGACAGCACAGTGATGCCATATATTTCCAAAGTAGATCTTTCATTGGGACAAACTTTTAATGAATAAATGTAAGTATCGTTTGTCAAAAGTAGACTCCCCGTCTCCAAATAAAGAGACTCACTACGCTGGAGTGACAGATTACTAAGCGCTCCTGTTAAATGATACCCAAACTATCAACAAAGTCACTTTCAATAAACACAATGTTTCTTTCTCATTTTGGTGCCATAAGTTGGTAGTACTGATCTTTTTTCCCCCCCGCCATACCCTTAAAAATCAAACTGACACAGAACAGGACAGGGCTTCATCATGACACTGATCGGTCCATAAAAAGAAGAAGAAAAAAAAAGAAAAAACACACCCTCATAATTCAACATAAAACTTATCAGTCTGATACAAACTGAGGAAGAGGCTCATGCAAACAAAGCAATGTTAGTACTCGTCCAAGTTGTCAGCTTTGGGTATGGAAAGGCCTCGGTCCTTCAACACTTGCATTTTAACTTTCTCCATCTCCTGCTTGGCCTGCTGCTGCAGCCGCTGCTCCTCCAGGATCTCCTCGATAGAAACCTGCTGCAGGACCGTGTCAGCGGGCTTCTCCACGTCCTGCAGAGACACAGACCATGTTAAGCTCTTATTCAAAGGCAGGAACTTATTTTTTTTCTACCACCAACGGCATGATCTTGCTCATTCAAAGTTGTGCTTTGAATTGCCTATTTATGCAAACTGTTTAGGGTTAGCCAGAAGTGGTCATCCACTTAAGAAAAGCAAACTCATTCCACCATTTCTTTAAAAAAGCAATTGAAATCGAATTTGAATGAACCATGATGCAATCCTAAAGTAAAACAGATTAAGTGGTCGCATTTATCAGGCTCCAGTGAAGCTTTGACAGATGTTCACATCTGAAAAGTGGCATGTGGCATGAGAAAGACATTTACATTCAAAGTTGAGCATAACAAAGGTTGCACAATAATAGTTTACTACTTACTTATATACATAAGCAGTATCAGTGTGTGAAAAAGTTAGTTCTAACTTCCTCTTCTGGAGGTCATTGAACATGCTACACAAATTCTGCACTTTAGGCCACTCGAATCCGATTTGACAGCTGTGGTTATTTAAAAAAAAAAAAAAAAAAAAAAAAAAGAACTAAAACAAAACCGTTTTTCCTTAGAGCAGCTAAGCTCATGCATAGTCAACTCACAATTACTTGACTTCCATCATGAGCTGATGGAGGGGAGGTAGGAAAAAATCTTAAGGACTAAATAAAAAGGCAATCCACACTAAATGAGAATTTAACCAAATCGTACTCGATTGTCCCTTCGCAGCACTGGAATTACACATTTTGTAATTCAGGGAGGGCTTTAGACTTTTCCTCTAGCAGTGGGGCCTCAGTCACCAGGTGAGATTACCTGGTGATGAACTGAGCACACGCACTCAGCAAACGGGATAAAGGGCTTTTCTTAAAGTGTCTGGCATCAGCACTGCTCAGGAAATAAACTCCATCTAACTTCGGATGGAGTCCAATGAAAATGTTAATGCTCACACTTACTATCTCGCCAAGCAGCACCACATTTTCTCCCCTCACGATGAATATTCCCCGTGGGATGTCACCAAACTTCTTCCCCACGTGGATGCGCTCAACTGTCTGATGAAAGACTAAATTGGCTGGAGAAGAGACGAAAGAATCAATCAGAGAAACCTTGTGGGCGAACAAAAAGAGATCACCACATCGACACAGAAGCTGACTTAGGCTGGAAAGCCATCCAAAAGAGTTGTACCAAATTGATCAATGCTCCTGAGGAATCCGATCAGTGTTCTGCCATCCCGGAGCAGCACCAGGTGCTTTTCTGCAGGACAAAACCAACACCAGCACGTTCGATTACCCATTCAATATGAAAAAGAAATCTGTGCGTGCACGAATCCACCAGTCTGTGTCAGACGGGATCCAGCACGTTGAAACAAATGTTCAATTAAAGCATCTCAACAAACGAGGGAATTGACTCCGCTTCCGTCTTACTGTCAATGTCGTCAATCAGGCTGGCCGTCCCTGGTACGTAGTTCATCTTGGGCTGCAGTTTATTTACGTCTGGTTGCTTTGTGAACCATCAAGCCATGAATGTTTAACAAATTGTTTCTTTGGAGAGGGGCACAGGAAGCGCCTTTATGCGTTACGGACAAACTTCCTGTTACCGTTTAACCCTTCATGCACCGTGGTGCATTAAACGTCAGACTTTTAAAAACCGAGACTGAAAAATAAACAATGAAATGAAGATAAAAACAAACATGGACTTTTCCTTCGACTCGAGTCTCATACCATATTAATGATATATATTCTTTTCGCTATTTTCCCATTGGTAAACTATGTTTGCTGACGCTTACAGAAGAGATTGTGTAAGCTTGCAGATGAGCTCGTGTACACATAAAAAAAACAACTTTCTGTTTTCTCGTAGAGTCTTGGTGGCTCGGATCAAAGTGTATGCATAATCTGGTTGTAAATAAACAGTTGTGAGATGTTATTCATATTGTGGCCATTTTTAATCGCTGCATTGAGAACAAAATGAGAGCACATGGAGGCTCTCTGTGCCGCAGACAGCGGCAGAGTGAGAGCTCTGTCTATTGTAGCTGTTCTCCTTCTTAAAGGCACAGTGCTGCTTTTCCCGAGCCCCGCGTCATTCGGTCATTTCCTGATTTCAATCAGACGATCTCCACTTCTGTGAAGAAACGTCTCGGGCCAGCTGACGACATAGTTAACCCTGGGCTCGTTAAAGGTTTGTTTCTTTACAATGTCACCGGACGGGACGGCAGCCGGGGACCGCGTGTAGCTGGGCTTCACCCTTCAATGCAGTCAAACCCGAAACCTGGATGGCCTTCGACCAGTAACTCGGGAAATAACGGAAACTGGAATAACACTATGGTAAGTGGATGCATGTGACTTAAACTACACCTGTTTGCTTATTAAACGTGTCATTTTGCTTTTAGTGTTTTAATAACTGTTTTAATCACGTCGAGCTGGCTTGTTAGCCGTGCTAGCTTAACGGCTAACGGGACTAGCTGACATTATGTAATAGTTACGGTTAGCTTGCTTTTTAAGCTCTTTCTCAAGTTTCTGTCATTTTTCTAGACTCAGTGACGCTGGATGCTTTGCTGTCCGTATGTTAGGGCGTAGAGGCTTAGCAACAGCGTAATCGTAAATCCCGTCGGCTTTACACTATTTATGAATAACGCTAAACTGGTCCGGTGGGACAAGATGTGACGAACTCTCTGTGTATACTCAGTCATTGCTCATTCAAGGAGTGGCTTAGACGCTGAATGCATCTCTTTTACTTTGTGTTAGTTTGTATACCTCGTGCGTTTAAGTACAATAGCTGCTGGTACACATGTGGGAAACCCTAACTCTATTATGCCATGAACTTTGTCCACAGGATGCCTCTCAGTATCCAGGTTATCCTTCACACTACTGGTATCAGCAGCCTCAGTCCACTGGGCACTATGCAAATACCTATCCCTCGGGGTCAGACGTTCAGCCACAGTACAATCCACAGGTACAGCTCATTATGCAACATAGCCTCTCCTGTCTCTAAGTCTGAGCACGTAGGAGCTAATCTGCTCATGAAGTTAAGTCTCTTTTGGCTTTTTTTCCTTTTCTGTCACGTTTTAAATAGTTACAAGCTGTGTCAACCCCCCCCCCCCCCTCCCCGTTTTTCCTTGTAGGTAATGCCGAGAGGGTATCAAAATGGCCACGGAGTCTATAGCCCCGCACAGGGTCAATATCCGACAAGTGGTTTTCACCCATCCAACCCCTTCTACTGTGCTGACCCTCAAAGACCTTCTCCGGGTTCATATCCCACCCAAGGCTGTCCTGTAGAACAGACTGGTGGCCCATCTGGGCAGCCACACTCGCAGCACCAACATCCTCACTATTCCGGTCCACACTGTCAAGGGGTGAGTTTAGATCAGGGGTAAGCAGCTCCAGGCCTTGAGAAACGCTGTCCTGCGGGATTTAGAGGTTTCCCTGCTTCTACACACCTGATTCACATCAACACAACGTCAGCAGTCCGGTTCAGAGCTGAAGCATCTCTAGAGGAGATCAGTTTGATCAGAATCAGGTGTTTAGAAGCAGGGAAACCTCTAAAACCCGCCGGACAGCGGCTCTCAGGGCCTGGAGTTGCCCACCCCTGGTTTAGAGCAGTGCACGCTATTTGTGTGGTAGTAGTTTAAAGTTAGCAAAAATCCCTACTATGTTCCGAAAGAAAAATAAACTAATTGTTCTGGCACCGGCAGGGTCCTGGATATCATCCTGGACCGTACTCGCACTATAGTGAAGGTGGACATGCGATGCCTCCAAATCCCCAGTACCCCACTGGCCAGTCTCTGCATCCCAGCCCTCAAAGTGATGCCTGGGCTCACCCTAGCCCATATGCCCCGTCACAGCAGCAGTGGCAGCCAGGCCAGCCGGCCCCTCAAAACCCCTATGGAAGTCATGTCCGTCCACCCCATCCTCCAGCATGGCCAGGGACTGGAACTGGGGCTCCACCCCCTTATCAACCCAAGGTAACAATCAACTGCTAACATGCTATGTTTTATTCATTCATATTCTTATATAGTCAGTTATGACTTACTCCAGTGTTGTTGTTGTTTTTTTTAGGACCAGCAGCACCAGCGTGCTCCACAGGTTGGACCTAAACCCAGGCCAGCGACCTCTCCAAATCCCCCCAATGGAAGGCCTTCTGAGATAAGCTCACCTCCCCAAATGTACAGCAACACTGGTAGAGGAGATCCCAAAGTTTCACCAGCTGAGCCCCCTCCCTCTGCCCCAGCTCATGCTCCAGCACCATCTGCAGGTCAGGCTGCGCCCCAGCCTCTGAGTGATAATCCCAGTCTTGCTAAGGTCCAGCAGGTAATGGCCAGAGTTCAGCTGCTTCAGGAGGATGTTGATGAGTTTGTTGGCAGAAAAGCAGACAAGAGTTACCGGTGTTTGGAAGAACTGCTGACCAAAGAGCTGCTGGAGCTGGACTCTGTGGAGACTCAGGGACAGGAGATCGTCCGGCAAGCCAGAAAGGTGGCCGTTCAGAGAATCCAGATCATTCTGGACCAGCTGGAGAAGAAAGCCTTCTGAACTGGACTTTATTTGTTTGCTTGTGGATTTCTAAGTCTTGTTTTCCTCATTCAAAACTTCCATGGACCAATCAAGTGTACAGTCTCATTTTGCAGAGCTGTAATGTAAGGGTTTGTTTTACTCATCACCATGTTATTGTGATCCTAGAAATAAGTGACATAGACCCAAGAACAAGGTGGAAGTAAGCTGTAACTTGGCTGGCATTAGAACATGAAGGCTGATAGTTGATTATAAATCTTGAGGTTTGGATTCCAGGAGTAACTGTGCTGGCTCCACAGCCAGACATGTTTTATCTTCTTCTCTTTTCTGTTATGCCTTTGCCAGCCCAGTAAATGCTGTCACTGGAAGGTGGGTTTACTTGGTTCCACAATACAGCCGTTTGTGGACCCAATCTCCTCATTCAGATTATCATCACGCTGCACGTCGGGATTGTGGGTTCGTTCTAGTCTGCTTCTACATGTAACAATACATCCGCTTCCCTGACCGTCCGCTTAACATGTCGGCCTATTTGCTTGATCTTATCCTCGACTGCAATTGGTTTATTTGGCACCTAGTTTCCCATAGTCTCTTACCTCTCCACGTCCCTGCATTAGTTTGTGCAGTGTTTCACTTGTGCTTCCAGCCTTGCATGCACTGTAATATCAGATAAGCACTCAGTACAGTCAGAACGTCTCAGAGCCCATTAATAAGCCCAGACTGTAGCAGATTAGTGAAAACTCCCTAAAGATTGCTGCCCCCATTATTCCATCTTCTGGATGAAACTGCTTTCTAAGTGCAGACCTAGAATCAGACCTACATATGAATGCCATGTATTTTGCTGTAGAAACTATTCTTACAGATAGGTAAGAACATGGTTAAGAATTTCTTTAGTTTGTTGATTTTTCTGTCCATCTTTGTACACTTAATATGAAGAAGGGATTAAACTTTACCATTTTCAGTAAAGTTTTCTGCTCAAGGACACTGTTGGCCACAGCAGTTTGATCCAAGTTTTGACCTTGTTTGTGTTTAACCAAACCGAGTGTGCACCCTAGTTCACTGTCTTGTGTATAGCCACGATTTTCGTTCAGGTTTTTCTGTGTTGATTTAGTAAAAAAAGAAAACAAAAAGTGCCATATGTCAGAAGATGGTTTTATATGACCAGATGAAAAAAAATATTAAAAATGACACCAAAAACTTTGCATGAAAACTAACTTCTGTCATGTGTTCATTTGAAATTTGCTGCTTCAGGGTGTAGAGGCATGTTTCCATGACTAAATTGAATCATTGTTAGATTGTTAAATCTATTTTTTAAGATGATGTTAAAAAGCTTTATTTTCTATATATTTAGGTGGTCAAGGTGAAATATGGGCAGGCTCTGCCAGCCAGCAGTCAGATCTTTAAATAGGCTGCTATTTTGATTCAAAAGCATAACCCATGCCCCTGACAGCGTGAGGCACACAGGCTGGATTTAATTTGAGGGTCAAATGGCAGACAACTGTCAGAACACATAGTGTTAGCAGTGAATTAATCAACGCTGAAGAGGGCTGAGGCTAAAATCAGTTGCGATATTCCCTTTCTTCCTTTTGACACTTGCCACAGAGGCCTTGATAGGGAGCTATCCTCTTTCAGGTTTGTGCAAAGGGTGAGATTGTGTTTTAAAACTGGTTATTTTTTCCCCTTTTAATTCTATGTTTACTTTGGGCTAGATTGGAATAGACAAAACTACTACGTTGCATAGCAGGAGGACCTGAGCCAGAAAAGGAAAATGTCGTACACATCTAAACTCCCTGCGTCCTGGAACGATGAACGGCCGCCTCGGAAAGTGGAGATTGATCTGAGTTCACCCGGATTAGCTGTGTTTGAGCTGGAAAAGCTGTTGTTCACCGGCAAAGCCATTATCAGTCATGCAGACGAGGTGTGGCCGAGGCTTTACATTGGAGACCAGTGAGTACCTCAGTTCCTCCTCATGGTGACACCATCTGTTAGCTTCTTCTTTCTTCATTTCACTGTTATGTAGACTGAACTCGATTTGTGAATCTTTAAAATAAGCCCTCATTTATAAGGGTTGGCTCCACACATGGGAAACGGCAATAGGTTGTAAATCAGATTTAAATGTGGAATGAGTAACACAACACTTCTTCAGCAGCATTCCCCATTGGGAACTTGCGTAAACTACAGCTCTGCTATGCGAGTTTCTAATTACCCCAGTGCCTGGAAGCATGCCTCAGGTCTCTAATATTCTCAATCCCCCGTGCTTGAAATGTTCTACATATATGTTCATCACTCTGAAATTTATTGCATGCGCGTTGTGCATCAAAAAGACGTGCAACCTGTCGGTGTATTGCTAAAAACGCGTGTAAATAAGGAGTGTGTGTTTTGCAGACACAGTGCAGAGAACCTGGCCGATCTCTCAGTGCATCGATTCACACACATCCTGAATGCCGCTCACAGTACACGAAGAGGACAGCCAGATATCTATGAGGGAATGGCCATCGCCTACATGGGCATAGAGGCCCGCGACTCCTGTGATTTTGACATGAGTGTTAACTTTCAGATGGCAGCAGACTTTATCCAGCGTGCCTTAGGCAGAGGAGGTAAGGGGGGGGGGGATTTTATAGGCGCCACAAATGGTTAAATTGGTTGTCTGCAATTATTGTCATAATCTTGTTTTTCTTTACAAAATTCAGGCAAAGTTCTCGTTCACTGTCATGTGGGAGTGAGCCGATCTGCCACCCTGGTTCTGGCCTACCTGATGCTGAAGCAGAATCTGACTCTTGTGGAAGCTATTTGTGCGGTGAAAAACAACCGGGGTGTGATCCCTAACCGGGGTTTCCTGCGACAGCTCATCAAGCTGGATGGGCAGATATTTGGCAAACATCATCCTTTCTTATAATCCTACCAGTCAGCATTTCTGGGTTCTAAATACAAGGTTTCTTAGGACATTCCACAAATGCAAATAATTAATCAATTAATTATTTGGATCATACGTCATCATACATGATTAAAAAACGTCATAGCATGCTTTGAATTTTAAAAATACTATAAATATTTTTGATATGTGTGGTTCTGAATTTTGAATAAAGGCTCTCACACGTCATTGTATATCGGTAAAGGCAAAAAATAAACCTCTTATTCTTAAGTGATGTTTCACTGTGTTGTGTTTTACATCAAATTTGACTTAATTTTTTCAAGGACTCTCTTTTTTAGTATTTGACCCCAAAAGAAATCAGGGACGTTGAAAGCGTTTGTTTTGAAGTATAAAGGGATTGCTGTCTGATCAAATTGTTCCTAAGAACTAATGTAATAATAATCTATGGGATAACTTTTAGAGCCTGTATTAGTTTTACATTAATAAAAACAGTCGAAAGGGTTTAAACTTTTGGTTAAAATAAGATATAGACTAATTTAATTGCCAGTCATTTGTACAATTTATTGTACCTGTTGCTAAAATAAACAATAGCTGCTTGTTTTCCTTGTATCCTGTGCAATCTCTGATGGCATGATTGGTCAGCCATTGATCGTTATGCTCAGCAAATGCAGAGGCTGGACAAATAGGACAAGGTTCAAAGTTCTGCTGGTCAGTCTTATAAGTGGGAGGTTTTTCTCTACCCAGTCTATGCCTTTCCTGTCTGTGGTGGATAAGACAACCTTAAGGCTTCAGGCACAATAAGGTAAGTGGATAAAAGCATTTCTGAAAAAATATTAAGAATTTGTGTTTTCATCTACAACGTGATGTGAAACAGTTTTACCTGCTGATGCACATACAGTCATTTTGAATTGTTTTGACCAAAGAACGTCTGTACTTGCATTTACTGCCTTTTCAAATGTTGTCTTCTCGGAGGACAGACGGCATGAAATTGTGAAGAGCCTGACATCTGCAAAATTTGTGCAAATTCAAACAAAACAGGTTGAAAGCAAACCAAACATCAAATCCCAATTTCAGCATCACTTTGTCTGAACTAGGGAGAAAAATACTTTGACATAGAATTAGTCTTTATTTTTTGACAGACATTGTTCCTTAGAAAATAGCATTTATTGAGCCAAACAAATACTGTATGTTTCAGGGCCTTTGGTGCAGCACTTGCTTCATGAAAAAAAAGTGTGTTTGCGAAAGCCAACATTGTGTAAGCCAAATAAACAATACTGTTCTTTTGAACCCTTTTTTCAGTACATCAAGATGGGGGCGGCTGTGGTTTTCTGGATCACATCATTGATGGTTTACATGGTGACAGGCTATCCCCATGAAGGGCCTGCCATGCAAGCCCAAGACTCGAATGTGGACACCCAAGGAATGGTGTCATCGGTGGCCTCAGCAAACAAAGAGTTTGCCTTCACTCTGTACAGAAGGCTAGCCGTGAATGATGGAAACCACGGCAAAAACATTTTCTTCTCTCCTCTTAGTGTGTCTTCTGCCTTGGCTGCCTTGTCTGTGGGGGCAAGGGGCGAGACCCACAGACAGATCTTCAGTGGTCTGGGTTTGGACAACCTCAGCCTGAGTCAAACAGATCTAAACGGGGCCTTCCGTTCACTCCTGGAGAACCAAGTGTCTGGCGAGGATGCCACTAAAGGCACTGCTGTGTTCGTGGACAGCCGCTTTAAGGCGCAGCACAATTTCCTGGACGTCCTGAAGCAGTCCTATTTTAGTGATGGCTTCGCTGTTGACTTCACTAAATCAACAGACGCTGCCGATACCATTAATAAGTATGTGGCAGATAAGACCAATGGAAAGATAGACAAACTGGTCGAGAGCCTGGATCCCAACACAGCCATGTATCTTCTCAGCTACATCTACTTCAAAGGTAAAAATGTCACATGGATAATATGTGGTTACTTAGGATTCCAATACAATTTCACAGCTTAAAATTTACTGTGTTAGCAGTAAGATGTCTTATTTCTACTCACCACTATTAAACAGGAAAGTGGGCATCTCCTTTTGAATCTGGACTGACCAAGGAGGACACGTTCACTGTGGAGCAGAACAACAAGGTTAAATGTGACACCGTTTACATTAGTCAGATTGAAATTGCATCAGTAATTAATCATTATGTATGCTACCGGTGCTTTTATTTTACAATGGAGTTCATTTGATTTATTTTACAGGTTCCAGTCCAGATGATGAATAAGGAAGACAATTTTGATGTTTACTATGACCAAGCAATTAACACATCAGTCCTCCACCTCCCTTTCAATAGCTCATATTCCATGCTGCTGGCTTTGCCTGATGATATTACAACTCTGGAGAATGTTATCAACTCAGCTTATGTCTCTAAATGGTTGAAGTGGAAGAAGTCAAGGTTGGGAGAGTTTAAAGTAAAGTAATCCTCAAAGTCTTCTCTGTCACTCCTTGTTAAGAACATAATCGTTTTCTGTGCCTTGATATTCAGGAACTATGACATATACGTTCCAAAATTCTCCATCAAGACTTCCTACAAGCTGAATAATGTGTTGACTGAAATGGGAATGACGGATATGTTCAGTGATCGCGCAGATCTGAGTGGCATTTCAGAAGGGCAAAAACTGGTTGTCTCAGAGGTAAAGACACACATTTCCTTCAGTGTGTTTAGTCTGCCTTCTCCTCACTATGTCTCTGCTGTGCTTTAAGGTTGTTCACCAAGCTACCCTGGATGTTGATGAAGCCGGAGCCACGGCTGCAGCTGCCACAGGCATCGGAATAACATTGCTATCATTCCGCCACATCCCAGTCTTGAAGTTCAACCGTCCTTTCATGGCTTTCATTATTCAGCCCAGCACAGAAAAGATTCTTTTTATGGGCCGGATTGTGAACCCAAACATCTAATAGAAGAAGCACTTTGTGTTCAAGCATGGCTGTTGCAATACACATAGGAAACAAAGAAATGTCTTTACTGTGTTTTGTCTCCATCTATTACCACATTTATGAGTGCAAAATATGGAAAGAATTATAAACCAATTTTCTGCTTGATTGTTGCTAAAAAGGGTAATTTTTTATCCAGAGTCAAAAACACATCTCATATGGAGATGAAAAGAACAATATAACACCCTAAATAAAATCAATTTGGTAAAAGCTTGTCCAGCAGAAGTTATGAGAATGGGTAATTAAACTGCATTGGTTGATGAATTATACTTTGTAAAAGAACACATTTTTTAGATTTGTGATAGTTAATCGCACAGTAAGGGATCTACCGTTAGAATAAAACCTTTAAAGTATTTCCTGTTAGCTGAACATTTGAACAAGTTACCCTATAAACAATAGAAAACATAAGTAATAAATAAACTTGCCCTAGTGTGTCTGTGGTTGGATCATGTTATTGCATTACGCCAACCTAAACCAGAAACTTGAAAGCTATTTCTAAACCCGAGAGCTCGCAGGTTTCAATCTTATTTGAAAAAAAGAAGATCCCAGATAATGTATGCAAAAAACAAACTTATTTTGTGTTTGGTTGAAATTGCAAAGCAGACTGCAGTACTCTCCCTTGACTGTAGGAGGCAGAAAAATGTCTGGGGTCTAATATGCTGAATGTGGTCAATCTCAAGAAGAAGAAACTTGTTGTGTTTTGATTGGGTGGCTGCAAGTTTCTATCAGACATGGCCGAATCAGCAAGAGATGAGACGCAGGGTGGACATTGTTTTAAGAAAGAAAAAATAAAATACACTCCGGAGGAGGAAGCCAAACTGGAAAGGCAACACTTTTGGAGAATAATTGATGCTTTTAAGTATTACAGGTTGGTAGAAATAGTATAGCCCGGGGAAAGACCTCAGCTTGTGTGAATAAACGATGTTGTTAGCACCGGAACACCTTTAGAGGGCAGAGCTTTGAAAAAAAATCTGTTCCTCTTGGCTCTTTTGTCACCATTGTTTTTTATTTACACTTTAAATGAATATTTTACCAAACGACATACTGTCAAAGGTATTTGCCAGTTTTCGGACTGTTTCAAATCGCCCCTCATATGTCCCACACCTCGCGTTCCCTCTTAAAATATTCAATTACATAAAAGGACAAAGACAGTAAGAAAATATAGACATGAAAAGAGCCAGACGTCCCGATGCTCTATTAGGAGGCAGTATCTCTGTTAATCTAATGTTTTTCCTCCCTTCAGGGTCCATGTTCAGGAACAGGTCAAGCGTGCTGAGCGTCAGTTCCGCAGCCTGTCACAAAGCCACCAGAATTTGCTGCCTGGTGTTTTGTACAATCTGGCCCGCATCACCCAGTGTGCTGACCATAACCAGGAGATTTTGCATGCCATTGTTCATAACAGCCTTCACATGTTTGAGAACGTAGAGTATGGTGAATGGGTAAGAGCTTATTAAAACAAGGTACACCCACAGAGGCACAGATTTAGCTCGACAAAGTGAACCTCTGTGCATTAGCTAAAAAATGTGTGCAGATATGTCATTTTTGGGTATTTCAGGAGAAGGATCCAAGGAAGGTTCGGCCATCCACAACATTTGACATGGACAAACTTAAGTCGACCATTAAGCAGTTTGTCAGAGACTGGAGTGAAGCTGGCCAGGCTGAGAGGGACACCTGCTACAAACCCATCATCCAAGAGATCAAAAGGCTCTTTCCAAGTGACAAATAGTACGAATCTCGCAAACATACAAACATTAAAAAAGATTTATTATCTTTCATTTTAATACACACAAACATGTCTATGTTGTATTATGGCCTCAGACCACCAAGTCTGAGATATGCTTGTATAACTTACTCAGTGTTTTCTATGTGATATGTGCATTCTGTGCATTTTATTATATCAGTGATGTGTCTAAGGTGAGCGTGTTGGTTCCGGGTGCGGGACTCGGTCGTCTCGCCTGGGAGATTGCCCAGCAGGGTTATACGTGCCAGGGCAATGAATGGAGTTTCTTCATGCTCTTCTCCTCCAACTTTGTTCTCAACAGGTATCTCATACACAGACATTAACTCTCATGTTGGTTTTATTTAACAGTAAAGCTCTGCCATCATGCTTTGCAGAACACCTTCGTTCATTAATATTGACTTCTCTGTTCAGGTGTGAACAGGTAAACGCTCTGACCCTGTACCCCTGGATCCACCAGTTCAGCAACAACAAAAAATCCTCCGACCAAACACGACCAATCAGGTTTCCTGACATCAACCCTCAAAGCCTGCCATATGATGCAGACTTCTCCATGGTAGCAGGGGACTTTGTGGAGGTTTACACCGAACCAGGTATACTGTTGCCAAAATGATGCAGTCAGATTATGTAAACAGCTGGAAGGCAGTATTAAATTGATAAAGACATTGTCCCACATGATCAAGATAATATACCATTGTAATTTCACTGAAAAGAGAAAATATAGATAATGATAAATAGAGAAATTCATATTATGTAAATACAATGGAGATTTTTTTTTATAGGAATGTATTGTAAATTATGAATAGTTGACCAACCATGCTATATTGTGTGTTCAAACCAGAGTCCTGGAACTGTGTGGCAACTTGCTTCTTTATCGACACAGCCCATAATGTCTTGGAATATATGGACACAATTTGGCAGATTCTTAAACCAGGAGGAGTGTGGATCAATCTGGGTGAGCAAGCTCTTATTTGGAAAAGAAAATAGAAGTTTAACTCAATCAAAATGCTGTCCCTGGCTATCGTAATCCTTTATCTATTATGCAGAAGTTGGTCAGCGGACAGAAATGCTGTTATTTATTTTTCCTTGGGTTCCCATTTTATGATATATGATATATATGAATAGCTTTTTTTGTGAAACCTTCATATACTATTTATTATTATGAACAGTTGCATGCTCTCAATCTCTCATGCTTTCTCAGACCACTAGGGGAAGGCACGGTTATATATCAAATGTAGTTTTAAATATAAAATTCTATATCTAGTCTTTTTAATGCACATTTTACATATGTCAGTGTTGTATAGTCTGTGGATGGCAAAACAGCAGTCTCCTCTGCTTTTGTAGGGATCAGAGAGCATACAAAAAAAATGCAGAGAGAAAAAATGGTATAAAAGGATTGGAAAAGTGTATGTTTATGTTTATGTTTATGCATTTGGCAGACGCTTTTACCCAAAGCGACTTACAGAGTAGACACAATATTACATTTCTCATCACTATGACAATAAGCTATATAGAGGAGAAACACTGATCAGAGTCAGTGGTGACAGCAAGAGATAGAGGTAGAGGGGACCACAGAAGGAGTTGTGGGGGGGGGATTGGTACGGGTTAGGATTAGGATAGGAGATGTTCTATAAGAAAATTTGAATAAAAAATTACTCCAGGCGGTCCAAGTATTCGATTTCTGTTTTGAGAAGAATAATTGAAAATGATTTACTGTTAGTTTATGTAGGTTATGTAATGTTTTGTGTTGTAAAAAATCAGTGTGGCAGCAATAATCGCTTCTGTGTTTAACCTGTTGTCAGCAAATTTTCCCACATTTTTTTTAGCAATTATGTCTTCTAGCAGTGCCATGCAGTTTAACTCAATCTTGAAACGGCAATATAGACTTAAAGATGTTTGAGGCTAATGTTTTTTTTTTGTCAAACTCATCTTATTGTTTGACATGTTTTAGGCCCACTGCTGTATCACTTTGAGAATATGGCCAATGAGCTCTCAGTTGAACTAAGCTACGAAGACATTAGGACAGCAATGGTAAAGTTGGGCTTCATCATTGAGGTAAACAAGTTAAATTCACTGTCATGACAATCTTTTTCCTTTATTGTCCTTCTGGTTGGAAAGCTGTGTCCACCTTTCCCCTACAGGTGGAGAACGAGTCCATGCAGACCACCTACACAGAGAATGACCGCTCAATGCTGAGATATGTTTACGACTGTATTTTCTTTGTTGCACGAAAACCTGCAGAGCTGCACTTTAACGGCCAAGACGACAGTCAGCATCACATCGCTCCTCCTGCTGCTAAGTCACCGCGGCGAGAAGGCACCGACAGACTGACGTGACATGGAATCACCCAACTAAATTATTGAACTTAAAAGAGCACAAACACTGAATGGCAATGAAGATAAAATTGACAAAATGAAAAATGGACAAAAGATGGAAAGTTGTAAATGGACATAATTTTCTTTTTGTCAGAATAACTTTTAGGCTGTTTTCGAAGAAAAATGGGGTTTTCATCATTTTATGGGACAGGCCAGTCACCTAAATTGGCTAATATTGTAGAATGTAGTATGAAGCATTGCAGTACCATTGTATCATACCTGAAACAAGTGTGCTCACTATCTTTTTTTTTTTGGGGTGGTTGAAGTCTGACTGATTACGAATTTTAATGATTTGTTCGTTACCTCCTAACGGCAAGAATTTAAACTTTTTTATCTGTTATTTCCTCCAGTCATATTTTTTTTATCATTATTCCACTGCCTGAAAGTTTGTTTGTGTGAGTGACAGAATGATTCACAATGTATTTATTCTTTTTTTGGTGCCAATAATCTCATTTTCTTATTTCAACCCATCATTCAGCTCTTTGGGAGCACATTGTTGTAAAGTTGGTTATAATTTTGGAATAAAGCCAACCATTTTGAATATATGGATGTATTTGGCTCGCTGTATACAAGCAACAACGCGCATGGTTAGGGTTCGATACAGGAAACAAATGTAATAGTGCAAAGAAGACGCAATGGGAAACCATGAAGCAGAATAAATGTGCCCGCCAAGGGAAAAATGGAGGCTGTGGGCGGGTTCAAACAGCTTCTCTCCGCTGATTGGCTCTTCACGCTGCCTTCCCTTAAATTCAACTTCCGGTGCTTAATGTTGTTGCGACTAAACCTGCTCGCTTAGTTGGAAAAGCGACGTCATTTTTTTATGTACAAGTTGTTGCTCCCCTGATAAATGTTTTAATGGCCAAGAGATGCGCAGACGACTCTCGGCTTCAGGGCACCTCCCCGAAAAAATCCTGCCGTTCAATATACAGTGTTGACATGATGGCGAAGAGCATGGCCCCTATTGGGGATGTGAGTCTGCCGTCGTTGCATGCGTTGTTGGGAGGTCGCTGCAGGAAGAGGCCCTACTCTTTCGAAAACGAAGAAACCACCGAAGACGCTGTTCCAAGCCTTAGAAGAGCTCTGTGTCACTCCAGAGAGCATGCAGTAAATGTTTTGACTGTGCCGACTTGTGGAGTTTTGCAGGAACGTCGCAGATCCTTGACAGTGGAGAAGAGACCTCGGCAGGAAAGCTTTGGTTCAGACACCGCTACTCCCACAATGAATGATAAAGTGAGTTTCTGACAGCTTGTCTATAGTTGTACTATTTCAGAACCTGAAAAAATTAAGGGACTGTTTTCATCGCTGGGTGGAAAGTAAT